CCACATCAATACAGTAGTTACTTGTTTGTTTGTTTTGAATTTCGCGCAAAACTACACGAGTACTATCTGCGCTAGCCGTGCCTAATTTAGCAGGATAAGACTAGAGGGAAGGCAGCTAGTCATCACCACCCACCGCCAACGAATAGTGGAATTGACCGTCACATTACAACGCCCCTACGGCTGAAAGGGCGAGCATGTTGGGTGAGGTGGAGATTCGAACCCGTGACCCCCAGATTGCCAGTCGAGCAGTAGTTGCTTAAAGATACTTCTAGCAGAAAAGATATGCCAGACGCCTAGAAGTTGCTAATGTAAAAACGCCATAAGATGTAAGTCCGTGAGAGATGGAGATAGACAAAAAAATTTATACTTTTAGTTGAAACTTCACAATAGCACAGTGAATACTTAAGAAACATCACTGAAAGAACAAGTATACTTGTGTAAGGAAGCACATTATGCTAATACAATAACTATAAGTAGGCAAACAACGATTTATAAACATAATGAAGTGATTTGTTCTGTCGAAACATAGAGTGTGTTCCCCCCAAAATAAATCACTTCATTATGCTTATAAATCGTGGTTTACCAATTTATTGTGAAACAAACAAGATGGTAGAAAAACACGTAGGTTGAAGAAATCAATTTAACACGATGCCTTTTAACCCGAGCGCTTTCGAAGAGTGGACCCTTCTTCTTCAAGTAAAGTCCATCTTTCGAAAGCGCTCGGGTTAAAGGGTATGGTATTTTTATATTATAAAACAAGTACATTTGTCAGGTCGAAGCTGTAAATGCCTTGCGTACGGTACTTAATAACACAAACTAGTCTCTCTGTGCTGTTGAATAACTAATATATCTTCTGCCTATGTGAGTATTTTCCTAAATCCTCAATACTTTAGTTTCCTTGTAGCATGAGACAGGAAACTTGTAACTAAACGTTTGTTGCACAACTGTCGATAAACAGTTGATAGGAGGGGATTGGGCTTACATAACTGTCGACAGGAGGGAAGAGGGCACTATTTGTTGTCTGTATGCTAGTATATCTCCTAGAATTGCTCTTCATATGATATGTGACTATTGCCATAGAAGACTACTTAGACAGACCAGAGCTCCCTGGATCTAACTGTTTGCTTTGTTCTTGTTCTGTTTTCTGTAACGAGAATAGTGATTTTCTTTGTTCAGATAAGACTGAAGGATGGTTTAATGAAAAATAGTGCTGTCGTCAACACTTTCAATAGAGCCAGTGGCCAAGTTATAGTCCCCGGTTCTCTTTATTGGACTTCATTTATTATGATATTAAAATCATTTGTTTATATATTATCCTATACAATTCACTGATCTGCTACAGACAGTAAAAACTCATTACTCATAACCTCCTCGATTGTCATAATTTATCAGTTGGAACTTGCCCTTTTAACTTATCAAATTAGGACTGACATAATAAAATGAAGGTTCTTCAAAAATATGATTCATCCCCATTACTTGTTGAAATATAGAAATATAACGGAAAGCTTACCGACCGGAATCCTCTCCTCACACAGTTTGTGAACTTAGGTGCTTGTTGGGAATACCATACAATTAGCACCACTGAAAGAGAAATGGTGGAAGATTTGAAGAGAAACGTTTATATTATTTAGTAGTTCACTAATTAATCAGAGATATTTTTTTAAGAGCATGCAAATACCTCCTTACTTGAAGCTACGTCTTAAAGGGCTTGTTTATCATGTCAAGAAAGTGTAATGTTTTCCAAACGGTTTTAATACGAAAACGTATTAACAAAAATAGATTCAGAAAAACGGAAACTTTATAACAACGCGTAAGTATTTCAACTCAGAATGTTTTTATTTCTTGATTTTGAAGTTCATATGTAATGCTGTGTTGTAGCCTACAGAGTGCATAATTATTCTCGTGATTCATGGCATGCGTACGTTTTACTGACGTCAGGACAGTACCAATGTAACGTTAAGCGTCCGTCATGTGAAGTCATTTAAGTGTCTACTGACCAACTGACAAACAACACAGTACTGTATAGTGATGCGAGTGCCTAATACAGGTGACCCCTCCAGACGGCCTTCGCCGCTGTTTTGGAGAGACATTAACTTAACGTATTCTTTGCAGTAACTTGGAGCACATTCAGCTACCATTAATCCAGCTATCTATGTCAGTGGTAGCGAATCTTGCATTTCTTAAAACGTGGAAGTTGGATTATTGCAAAGTCTATTTATTACATTACGATGAAAAGTTTCAGCTGTTCATCTTTTTATGTTCATTTATTTGTTAGTTTTCTTTACTTTGCGATTGTGTAAGTTCTAATATTAAGAGGTATGGACTTGTAATATATAATAGAGCCCAATTTTCATGTATCCTAACCATAAGGTCTGAAAATTATAAACATTTTAGAAAGACAAAATTTGATCATTAAAGATACTTTAATGGTAATTAATTTGTTGAAACTTCTAGAAGTTATTGTTGTTTTTCATATAGAATGCTGTACATTGTCAGCCGTTTACGTCGAAGTTGCCTAAAATGGGACAGCCACATCTGGACTTTACTGCTCCAGAGATCCAGAACTCGTCTACGTGCTCACCTTACAGTGACATGTTTTCTCTAGGACTACTGATTTGTGCTGTCTTTAACAACGGGCGATCAATTATTGAGGCAAATTTAAGTTCAAGTACTTACAACAAGCAACTGGATTTGGTAATTTTTTAACAAATCTTATACCGTTATAAAGCTATAGCAAAGTATGAGCCAGTACCCTCAAATAAAGTACTAAGTCAGTCGGATTAAGGATTACTTTTAATACAAATACTTAAATATAGCTTCTACTTGTCTATACATATGCTAATATTATAAATTAAGTTTTCAAAGGTATTTACCATGTTATTTAAGCGTGTGTAGTTTTCATTACAAGCTAAATAACAAACAGTAGAAATTAGTATTTGGTTTTGAAGTTCATATGTCATGCTGTGTTATAGCCTACAGAGTGCATAATTCTTCTCGTGATTCACGACAATACAAATTGCAACGTTAAGCGTCCGTTATGTGACGTCATTTTAGTGTCTACTGACTGACTGACAGACAACACGCTACTGTTTAAAGAAATTAATATATGATTACGTGTTTATATTACACATATCATGTTATAAACATTGCCAGCTGACAATCAATATGTTTATAAAACATCGACAAAACTAGGATTATTCAATACATATTTTTCAATTTCATTGTCCCCTGCTGGGTAAGCATTCAGTTTACCAGTTGTCAACTAATATAAGTATCGACAAAACTAGGATTATTCAATACATATTTTTTCAATTTCATTGTCCCCTGCTGGGTAAGCATTCAGTTTACCAGTTGTCAACTAATATAAGTATCGAGAAAACTAGGATTATTCAATACATATTTTTTTAATCTTATTGTCCCCTGCTGGGTAAGCGTTCAGTTTACGGAATTACAACGCTAAAATCTGGGATTCGATTCCCCACAGTGGACAGAGCAAAGACAACCCTTTGTGCAACTTTGCACTAAAAACTAACAACAAAAACCTTAATCTTGTTTTCAATTTGTTATGATAAAATACCATCATAAACTTCTTCAAAATGTTCTTCCCACCAAACCATGATCATTAACTGTTTATAATGATGTCCTGGCTTAATGTCTGCTTTGTGGTGAGATATATAAACAAGTTAAAATCCTTTAAAAATATTTTTAAATCATTCATGATAGAATAATCATAACACGTGCTTACAAGACATGTTTCCGTTTTTCACGATGAAATGGTTTTTGTTTTGTTTGTTTTTTTTAATTATGCACAAAGCTACACAAGGGCTATCTGTGCTCTGCCCACCACGGGTATCGAAACCCGGTTTCTAGCGTCGTAAGTCCGCAGACGTACCGCTGTGCCACTGGGGGGCAGATGAAATGGTCAGAATTTATTCTTATTATTGCACGTGAGTGGCAAAATATAATCATTGGCAATAAATATTTTATTTGGATACTTCGTGGTAAAACTAATTTTCGCACTAGGTAACTCTCTGTTATCCGTTATGGCAAAATACTCAGTTGTTTTTGTAAATATTACATCCTTGATTTTCCTCATAAAGTTAGTAGAGCTTGTGGTGTAAATTATTCGTTCTTGTCTCTTATGAAGAAATGTTAAGACTTTCAGTGCGTGATTGTGGATGTCAGTAAAGCAGATGCATCGTGAAACAAGACCGATTATTTGACCAACTTTTCAAAGAAACCGTTGACATTAATATTTTAATACTGAACAACATTGAAAATTTCAGACAGTATTTTACCGGTACTATGTTTTTCGTGATGGAAAAATAATGAAGTTTTTGTGACTCTTAAGTTACTATTTTAAATCACCAGAATTTGTCACCAGAATTCCGTTTTTTTTAGTTTAATTCATAAAACAGTTAGATATCAGGGAATTAAAAAAAATGTATCTTTATGTAAGATATTTAGGCATACGTTAACATATCTCATCCTTTAATGTTAAACATAGTTAGTTCTTTTGTTGTAGATAAACTTTACTTATCCTTCACTCTACATAATTTAGTCCTAAGATTTATTTTCCCCATATTCCCTCACATCTTTGGAATACTCATTCAATGCTCTAACCCACAAGAGTAATAGGAAATGTAATTTCTTTCAGCTAGAACAGACTCTCCATGATCTGTTGGATGGAATACCTCACCATCTACAGGAACCGCTCCAAAGTCTTCTTAAGGTTGATCCTAGAAAACGACCCAATGCTCAGAATTTTTCAATGGTATTCTTCATTTTTAAACCTCAAATTTGTTTTATTCAATAGGGACTTTTTACTTGAACTATACTGAATGAAGTCTTTATTACAACCTTTTATACACACGTATTTCTAAAACACTACACTTATTTGCAAATTCATAGTAGACTGATAATATGATGTGCTTAGAGGACTGCTTGGGGCCTATAAATGCTGGGAAGTAGTTATATTCAAAACATTGAGCAAAGCTAAGACCTCTCCGAATTTGAAAACGACTAAGTGATACGCTGAGGATAAAAGAAAATATTTAAGTTTGTAAAGTGCAATAAACGTGAGAGTGGGGTCCAATTGAACAGTTTCTTCAAACACAGAGGAAAAGTTTCATATATATTCAACTTTACCATGCAAATGGCGTAAACAAAACTGTTAAATAGCAGCTGACAACCAATCCTGAAAACGCTTATCTCAAATGCAGGTTTCACCATCGATTGGGGTAAACTGCGGGGATGAAAGCATGTGTTGCGGTCTAATGGATCGTTTTTCATCCTTTTTTTGTGATGACGACTGGAGAAAAAGATAAATTAAATAACACAGGGCAGTTAAACCAACTTGTGCTTTTTTGACAGTGAAAGTCGATAGAGATTATTCATAATGATGTGAACAATGCTGCTATAGAAGTGTAACTAACATTCAAAGTCTACATATAGGTTGACACTGATCATCTCCACTCTATAATAATACTAATAACTTCCGTCAGAGGAAACTATATGCTTAAAACGAAACTAAAAATCAACCTGACCATTAGTATAGCTAATTAAAAATATATTTATCATTTTTCTACTTATAAAGATTAGAAGGCATTGTTTCGTCAGTTAGGTACCCTCGGCCGTAAACCCAATATTATCTCACGAAGTTCGGCTAGCTTATGAGAGTTAGGTTTCATTTTTACCATAATTAGCAAGAGAAGCAATCATTTTATATTGTCCGAAGTTGTTTTGAAGAGCATAATTGCCATTTCAGTGATCTTCATTGACGACAACAAAAACTGGATATCAGTTGGGTTGAACATCTTTAGAATTAACTTGGAAGTAGCATTCTTAATTGCGATTCCTTATGATCCACTTAAAGGCCTTAATTACTCTCCAAAAAATGGGTTGTAATCGAATAAGACACTTTCTGATGTATTAAAAAGTCTGTATCAAGTCCGGGCTATTATCTTGGTCAACAATGACCCACTGATATTTATTGAGGGTCGTAATGTAGTTAGTAGTCATTCAGGGGTTGTAGTAACAACTGACGATTCTAAACAACAGCAACATGTATATCTACACTTCTTAAAACAATGTGATGTTTTAAAAATTAAATGTTAGAGATACATCTTCTTTTCTGCTCTAAGAGATAAAAGTTATAGTTTTGTAACAACATTATTATATTTGAACTGAATTTAAACGTGGCTTAGAACATATTTACAATTGGAAATATTATATTTTGTTACTCACTGGTTTTTAGCGGAAGAAGTAAATCGTCGTTTTTTCTATTTCTTTAACTGTTTAATTTATTGATATAATTCAGTTACATTGAAATTCTATAGAATATCGTAACTTTTTAAATTCTCAAGATTATACGTTTTAGTCGTGTTTTGTTGTATTTTTAAATACTTTATTTTTTAATATTCGAATTGTCGAGAAACTAAACATCAAACCCAAGATTACGAAACATAACACTCTACTAATCTTATTCTAATTTTATTTTCTTAGAATAATCAGCGAATTAATCACCAAGACCCTAAAATATTGTTTTTTTTTAATTCTTTCTTTCTTTCTAGCTCTTTCTTATAAATGTGTCAAGTTAATTGAAATTAATTTCAGTTTTCTTTAGTACACTTCTCATAATATTTTAACATTTCTTGTCATGGACATTTATATATTACAGTCTATGCCTACACATCAAATATTAAATAATAATATTATTGTCATATTTACCTAATTATAAGGTTAAACTTCAAAGAAGTACAATACGTTTTCGTTTATAAATTGAATAAAATATGATTTCCTGGTTGTAATATATATTGTATGTGTAAGCGCAAAATCATCAGGTCCAAAAAAGCTAACTTTATACGGATGGCTCATAAAAAATAGATAAGCAAAAAACTCATCAACAAAACGTTTTTAAAATTATAGTAAGAAATTAGAAAGTACAGCCGCCATGTAATTTTAAAGAAGTTTTAGTCTGGCAGTATTGTGTAGGAATTCAATATAGGCATATCTCAATTAGAATAACCCGGAAGAGTGTTTGAGGAAAGTATGTGAATAAATAAAGAAAGTTTCCAAACATTAGTGTCTAGAATGAATACCAACAATCAAAATATGCACTGCATATAACGTTTTAAAATTATAATCTTGATCACAGAGATAAAAAACTACTTTTAATCAATTAAAATGTCATATTCCAAGAAACTTTCAAGTTGATTATTGACGTCACTGTGCCTTAGGCAACAAAGATAAATATATCTTGCATGAAACAGAGTACAAATCAAATTGGGTAAAGAATAATAATTCAAACCTGCTATTTCAAAGCCTTCGAAAGGTAACTTGAGTAGTTACGTATTCAGTGTGCGTACCATGAATGCCTTCAAACTTCGCTATAGCTGTTTGTCGCTAAAAGGCGCTCAAAACTTTTAAAAGCATTACTTTATCTGAAGTAACTCAGAAATTAATGTTATTACATTATAAAATACTTTTGACAATACAGCACGAAAGACACATAAATAATGAACCAAATGTGTCACACGGTACATAAAGAACTAAAAACTTGTTTCTTTTCAAAGATAAAACTATTTTTTTTATATGCGTTTCATGTCATCCTAGAATACGAGGAAAAGAATCACAAATTTGCTGACGTCATATAAACACTGTTTTTATATAATACGCTGTACAGTTTTTAAGTCTCATATTTTTCCATAAGTTGCCTGGGATTAGTTCGGGAAGTATAAATTATTGGGTATGGTCCATAATATTATTGATTGTACTTCTTGTATTTTTTCTAGATAAAGTATTTCCTGGACTCTTCAGTACATGCTCTTCAATACCTAGATGTCATTCAAATGAAAGATACCACCCACAAATCTACTTTCTATCATGGTCTCAAAGGAGCGCTACCTAACATTCCTAGGGTAAGAAGGAACTGGGATTTTCCAATGTTTAACGAATTGTCTGTGTTGATGCCAGCACAATTTTATTTTGATGGTAAAGTTTGTAAAAATAAACACTGAATTCGCCAATCTAGAAGAAAAAATAATAATATAGTTCTATTCTATACTTTATGGGAAGCGTTAATCTGTGATTTAGAACTATGAATTGTTTTTATGGGTGACTAGTAACACATAATAATAAAAGAAATGTTACTAATTTTCAGCCAAAATTGAGAAAATTCCTCAGGTCTTTATTAACATTTAGGGTTAAAGAACATTTTGTGGTATTTTGCATCTGATTTAAAGTTAAAGTAGTATAAAAACTGTAGCAAAACTTTTTAACATTTCTTATTAAATTCTAAGTATGCCAAAATCAATCTCTGAATGAAGATCTGAAATAATTTCTTTTAATTTAAGTTGTTCACATACTTCATATTAACGTTAAATTCACATCTTTGAAAAGTGAGAAAGGGTAGATGCAATGTCTGTAAAATAACTAATAAGTTCGGTCCTTAAACTACAATTACATATTTCATAAATTTTGTAATTTTCATAATGAAGTAAGTTGTTATTGTTTGTTATTAAGCCCAAAGCTACACAAAGGGCTATCTGTGCTCTGCCCACCACGAGTATCGAAACCCGGTTTCTACCAGTATAAGTCCGTATACATGCCACTGGGGGGCAATTAAGGAAGTATATACATTTAGTCCAAACATTTAGTCTTAGCATTTTAATCACGGACTACTGCTGTCGATTTGAATTAATATGATAGCCATTTATTAAAACTTTATCATAAATAACTCTACAACTTTAATGTTTTAATTGATTATAAACAGGGTTCGATTAAAATACATGTTAAATAAAATACTTCCGAATTCTATCCATCTGTTCAGATGAAACCAGTTTTGTTCATCAGAAGCAACATCTAGTTTTACGTTGTGAAATTATATAGTTCATATTATTTTTCTGAAACACTTTTTTTTTCGTTTTATTACGAACAGAAACTTTGGTATCAGCACGTTTTGCCCTCTTTAAAATCTGAGATTCATTCCCCCGAAGCTCTAGCCGCAGCACTCCAGCCCTTTCTCTTCATAATAGAGGAAAGCACAGCCGATGAATACCAGACGCTTATTCTTCCTATGTTTCGAAGTGTATTCGGAATGCCGAAGTCAGTTCAGGTAAACCAGTGAAATCTCTGAAAACCTGTGATTATAAAATAGAAAAACAATTATAATTTCACGATAAATATATTCATATTCGTCAAGTAAATGAGTAGAACTTTCATAGAATCACAAACTCAGTACTCTTTATTAACTTGTTTTACGTATTCCAATATTTTAGATCTATATTGTCTTATAACTTGAAACCTATATAAAAAGAATATAAACAATAAAAATATAAGAGCTTCAGTTATATAGATCATAATCTTATGGAAAAGAAAAAATATTAATACCGTTTAAAGATAATGAAATTGCATTGTGTTTGAAACTTCACTATTTTTTGGTTGATAAAATATTCAACGAGTTTTCTTTTTCATACATATAATTTTAAGTTAATACCCCGTTATATTTTACGAAAGAATAGTTTGGCAAAAACAAACAAATGAGTATTACTTTTCATGACTACTGACTGGCCATGCCTATAGATTTTTGTTTACTGAGGTTTACTAAGGTTTTGTTTACTAAGCGGGCAACAATTCTTGTGTGACTATAGGAAAAATAGTCCAGTTTCCCAGGTGCGTGTGTTTGATGTGGCAGTTATATTCAAGGCGTATTTGAACTTATTTGATTGAATATCTAAGGATACGGGAATAGTCTAGTTGGGTCAACATGTATGCCTTATGTTACTACTTAAAACAAGGTGTGTGTGAAAGTTAAGATACAGAAAGATATTTTAAATATTTCTTTCAAACACACGATTAAATGCCATTTCAATTTCATTGGTGCAGGCAACAGTTACTCTTCTGGAAAACCTGGACATAATCATGAAAAAAATGTCAAAGACTGATATCAAGTCAGACGTCTTACCAATGATGTATAGCGCTTTCGACTCGACAACACCACAAATTCAAGTAAGACACATTTAAGAACAGAATTTAACTGTGTAAAAATACACATTTCTTGTATATTAGCATTTGTATTTAATGTTCTAACTTAAATTGTAAACGGAACTTAATAAGAATATTTGTAAGGCTTTACTGATGCCAAAGTAGTGACATGTCTTACATAACATCAAATATTATATTGTTCTATGTATTAATGATTCTCCTATCCCTCTAAAAATCATTTAATCAACCAACACCTGAGAATTTAAATTATGTTATTAAGCACTGGTATGAATGATGAAAGCAGAGGCATGATTTTTAATTAGTTCCATCATCCAACACTAAATGAGTCATATCTCCTTTTCAATTTCGTCAACAAGTACATGAAAACACCTAATATTTTATTCAGCATCATGCACTAGGATGATATTAAAGAAATAACCATCGCATCACCTGATCAGTTCCATTATTAAGAGCACCAGGATCAGAATGAAATAAAGACTACCTGAACTTCTCCATCAATCACCAATGTGAGAGACTCTAGGTAAATCTAACATTCCTGTCCAGTTCTGCTATCAAGCACCGCTGTTAGACTGCAGGAAAGTAGCATCATTTACTGATCTGTTTGGTCATCAAACACCAGAATGATATTGCAGAAAGAGCCAAGTCTCATGATCATTTCAATTACAAAGCACTGAAATGAGTCTGGAGAATAGTTTAAATTTCCTGTTTAGTTTCATCTCTAAGCACCAAGATGAAACTAAAGGAAATGTCATATATTCTGTCAATTTTATCATCAAGGACTGGATGAGACCGAAAGAAGAGGTCCATTTCTAGGCAGTCCCATCATCCAATATCTATGGGGAATAGAACACATCTGTAGAGCAGTTCCATCTTGAAAAACACTGTGATGAGACTGTAGGCAGAACCACATCCCTTTGATCAGTTCCAGCACCAAGATGAGATCGGAGTAAAATCCTAATCTCTTGATCTATTCTATTATCAAACATCATGATGACAGTGTTGGAAAAGCATCATCATTATGCATTAGAATGAGACTGCAAGAAATGCCACAGCTTCTGAGCTGCTAATTCTGATGAAAACTTACTTATCAGTCAGTTTTCGGTGTCTTTCTTGCTTTCAGAAAAATGAGTCAAGGTCTGTTTTGTAATTTCTGCCTTGCGAAACAAATATTTAGAAGTACATGCAAAATACACGCTAATTCAACTCTATCTTTTTCTATTTTTTTATTTCTGGGTGATATTAAAATTATATGCATATTTTATAAAGACTGAACAATGTTTTAGAAATGTCCTGGTTTACTTATTAAGCTTGCGGCCAGTTTAATCACAGATAGCCTACTTTAATGCTTTGTAATACTCTCTATTATGTATGCCTGTTGTCATACTAGTTGACAGCAAGGTATTACTGCACATAATATTTCTCCCGTCAACCAGGAAAACAATAGGAAATAAAGAATATTCTTTGTCCTTTAGCATTTATGTGTATCGAGATACTGTAACATTACAAATTCAAAAGTAGAAATTATTACTTATTGTATTCCCTTTGCAAGGAAAGTTACTGATTTCACTATACATGTAAATTCTTCGTTTTCACAGCAAGATCTAATTACGATATAGAGTTTTAGAAATAAAAAATTAACTTAAAAAGTCATTTCGAATTAATTTTTATTATTTACCACGTTTTAGCTTCAAACCTGGAAAACAAACAACAACAAAATTGAATTATTCATGTTTTTACACAGATCTTGTCGTAAGTTTTGTCCCTGAATAGTGAGGGAAAATAAGGATGATCAACGGAACAGATACTGGCCAAAACCCTATATCTACTACAAAAAATAATTTGATATTACATTTTTGTGTTCTTATGCATGGCAATGCGAAAATGTTTAAAAATGATAACAAATATTTATTATAACAAGCATGAATACCTTTTCAAAACAACACCAACAATATTGTTACATTAAGCTTACCAAGAAATGAGTGATTTGCCTTACCAAAACGTTTGATGATTTTTCGATTCTTCATAAATTCTGTGTTACTAAATATAACCTTGTTTGTGTCTTTGTTTTAATCGAGTGTTGTCTAGCTTCGACCAAAATAACCTGGATAGCGTTTTGTCATGCTGACATCGACGTTCAGTGAGGCAATAGCTTCTTTATAAAAAGTATTTATATTCCAACTCTTTGTTCTGGAAAAATAAGAGTAATATTGCAGATTTAACAGACAGACAGACATCTGTAATGATTAAAATTCTTATAAGTATGTCAGTAGAAGTGCATTGAATGTTACAAGCTCGAGTGTTGTATACGTTATGGGGACGGCGATATTTCAGTTTTGTTAATTTAGAATACATTAGGAGTACATTACAATTGCTTTAAACAAAATGCATGTATGTTTATCCATGACTATAGAGTACAATAAATTTTATTTATGTCATATAAAATTAAATCTCATAGATGTTCCTTGTTCTCCGACTCTTGAAACATTTTTTTAGTTTCGCTCTGATCGGAAGTTAATATTAATTATTATGAACTGTCATAACTTTCTAGAATACTGATTTGTTGGAAAAAAACAAATAGATAAACAGGCGGGCATATTTAGAAAGGGCAGTTTCACATAGGAACGATATTTCCAAGATACCTGATATTAAACTTCTGACAGATATGAAATGTCAGTAGAACTCAATGTCACGCTAGTGGAATCTAAGGATCACTTTCGTTCATATCTGTCTAACTATCTCATCCTAATTTCTGATTTGTATAGAGCGCAGCTCTCTACGCACTAGCCCAAGTGGCAGGTTATCTGGACGAAAATGCTGTGAGAAAAATGATTCTTCCAAGAACAAAACAGGTCTTTGATAACCACACTGGAACAAAGGTACGACATTAATCATTAACTATCATCTTGTATGTCTAACCTTTCCCTGTATGTGCATGTCGAACTTAAGTGTTTGTAAATCATTACCGTTGTTTTTTTAACTTCACTGTTTGTTTCAGAAGAGGTCTAATGTAATTTCGTATTTCTCTCGATCGGAGATTTAATGAAATTTTCCACTCGGAACGAGATAAACTTATTATTGACCATCTCTACGAACAGTGTCCATATGTTTATTATGTTTATCTCGGTGACTTTCCCTAACAAATATTTTTTTTTATTTGTTATTAAGCACAAAGCTGCACGAAGGGTTAATTGTGATGTACCCACTGCAAAAATCGAGCCCCAAATTTTCTCATTTTAAACCCAAGCTTACTGTTGAAAACTGGGGCATTAACAAACACTCTTCATCTATATCTATCATAATCAATTCGTTATCACGTTTTTAAAAAATCGCCCATGTATATTCATTATGTTTAACTTGTTCACCCTTTCCTTAAAAAAGTCCATGTATGTGCAGTACGTTTAGCTAAATAAACCTCCCTTAAGAAAATGTTTCATGTATATTCAATACACGTAGTTATTAAATCTCCCTTAGAAATAGTTTCTACCCATATTCAGTATACATATATTTTGTAATCCTCTCTTACGAATAGTTTCGATGACGAGGAACCCACTTTGAGACTAATAATGGCTGGAGACGGCTTGAATGGGTAATGAAGAAAAACTTTAATATAAGTTTAACATAACAGCAAATGTACAACGTTTCGACAAGGTTTTGTCATCATCAGGTACAAGCCGTCTCCAGTCATTATCTGCTGTATGTACTGCCGACGCGACTTTTCGCCCAATACCAAGCTCAGCAGGCTAGCTGGGATACGACAACATTTTAGTTGTTGAGGTGCTATTTATATCATCAATGTTTATGAACAACGACTGTTATGATGTGAAGTAGATTAAGTAAGTAAATTGTAATTATATAAGTTTAACATAACAGCAAATGTACAACGTTTCGACAAGGTTTTGTCATCATCAGGTACAAGCCGTCTCCAGTCATTATCTGCTGTATGTACTGCCGACGCGACTTTTCGCCCAATACCAAGCTCAGCAGGCTAGCTGGGATACGACAACATTTTAGTTGTTGAGGTGCTATTTATATCATCAATGTTTATGAACAACGACTGTTATGATGTGAAGTAGATTAAGTAAGTAAATTGTAATTATATAAGTTTAACATAACAGCAAATGTACAACGTTTCGACAAGGTTTTGTCATCATCAGGTACAAGCCGTCTCCAGTCATTATCTGCTGTATGTACTGCCGACGCGACTTTTCGCCCAATACCAAGCTCAGCAGGCTAGCTGGGATACGACAACATTTTAGTTGTTGAGGTGCTATTTATATCATCAATGTTTATGAACAACGACTGTTATGATGTGAAGT